TGTGTGTGTGTGTGTGAGAGATGTCTTACACTGAACTGCTAGCTTCAATGGGAAGCTTTCTGGTTTGACCTGGGTCCTGTGTGCCACCACACAGCTGATGTCTTTCCCGTTGTCTGCTGCTGTGGGAACCATGCTGTATTCGCTGGTCACGGTCACGGTGTTGACGGCACCTGTCTTAGATGTTGTTGTCGCGTTGCCATTGGCTGTGGTCACCCAGGAGATCTGAGCAGCAGGGCGGCCATCCACAGACTCGCACTTTGCCACGACGACGGGCTTTGTGCCCACTTCCACCGTTACAATGGAAGCTGAGTTCTGTGGCTTAGCTGATGGATGGATGGATGGATTGATGTGGGGATGGAGGGTGGAGAGAGGAAGAGACACAGAGTGGCAGAGAGAAGATTAAAGGATGCAGAAATAGATAAAATGGAAATAAGACAGCTGAGGGAAAAGATAATGTGCACCATTATCGATAAACAATTTGAGTCACCAGCATGGCAAAAGCAAATCCAAAACCTCAATCTCCAAACATCCTCTGCCGCCCCATTCACCCGCTCTCTCTCTCCTGTCTTTTTTCTCTCTAGAGCTTATATTGATAAACAATTACAAGCACCAGTGCAAACACACCCAAACCCTAAATCTTCTTTCACTCTCCCTCCATTTCTTTAATCTATTCCCTCTCTATCCCCACCATTGATAAACAATTTCCCTTGCTGGTCTAGTACATTTCCATACGCAAATTTTAAATCACTACATGATCTCTGTCATTCCTCCACTCCCTCTACTCTGCCTCATCCCTCATACCTCCTCAATTGCCCTGTCTGATGCTAGAGTGGGATCAGAGGAGAGCCGGCAGGACAGAAGCTGACAGCAGGCATGACAAGCAGCCGGATCAATATAGTGCCCGAAGGGAGGCAGGGACGCATGATGCGTTGGAGGGAGAAGAGAGTGGAGCAGAGGCACTGGTGCCGGGCCAAGGTTAGACCAATGGTTCCATTGCATTAACAAGAACACAATTGATCTGACAATACCACTTATAATAGCAATTAAGCCTAGCTGGACATGCTTTTAACCTGCATGCTACCTTTGGGGGATGGAGCCAGCTAGAGAGACAGACAGAGAGGTAGGCAGAGAGTACTTTGCATTGACTATATACTGTATATATATATATATATATATATATATATATATATACACACGTATGTGCTGTATATATT